CAGGGGCGAAACTACTGGGGGGGTATGGGGGGGTGCTGCACCCCCCCAATCTTCAAAAAAGCAGATTTTGTTGGGCAAATTTATGGCTGCCAGTGTATCTGTCGGGCAAATCTGGAAATTTTCTTTAGGTCGCACTTTTATTGCTACTTTTTGCCCTAGGTTGGTTTTTTAATCCATGGTCTTTTCCCCCATCTTTTTTTCAATCTCCTCCCAGTTGGGAAAACAAAACAGAAACGAGGCAAGGAACAGCAACATATATACATTTCTGTCTTTCGTCCGTCCACCGATCAGCGCTTTCGTCTGGAGCTCAACGCGCACATGTTTAGCTTCGCCTCGAGATGAAGTCTGAAGTATTGATCGACAGCAAAAGTATAGACGGAAAGTAAAGTGTGTTTGATGCGAGAAGGAAATGAACACTGTGTATACCCCTCCCCCCTACTTTTTGCAAAACAAGTGAGCTTTTTTCAAAATCTTTTGTTGTGATTTCTAAATTTTCCATCATGCCTCGGAGCTTGGAGACAGTTAGAAGCATCATGAATCAAAGCATGAAGGATATACCATCTCGGAATACAGGGACGAAAACAAGTTGCTAATTTTGGGGGGGGGGGGCGTGGAAGGATGAAAATTCCAATCTAAGTAAGAAATTTTTTCATTTGATCAGTAAATCTACTATACCTACCAAATTGTATTTGTAAATAGCCCGAACACCATAGTTCTATTTTCTTTATAATTACCAAAACTTTACTCAATAATTAGCCTAAAGCATAAAAGCCTAAATCTCTAAATTTTGATTAACATGAAACAGACATTTAAACTTACAGTAAGATTTATACAATATTTAAGCAAAACCAGTATTAGATATATTTAATGATTAGTAGTATTCTTTCAGATCAATTGATCAATTTTATCTAAAATACATTTTTTCACGATGTAGAACCACCAAGAACTTGAGCCTTTAATTTTTGTTCTTGATCGAAGAAAACTACTAACAATTTTCAGTGGGCCAAATGCCTTTTCATTCTTTACAATTGAAATGATGATTTGAGAACAAACTTGTGCATATGCCTGATTCGAAAGATGAAACACTCTTCTTTGATCAAATACTTCTACTGCAGTTTTGCAATGTGTTTTTGCTTTACAGCAGTTTTGTCATAGGAATTTATGATAAGGGTCAAGGGCGTTAACAAATAACAGGGGGAGTTTAGCATAAACTCGTTTTTTATAAGAAGCGTTGAGAATTTTTAGCACTAAAAGATTATTAATCTTTTATTGAATTAACTACTCGTAGTTTCTTAAAAAACTCCCACTCTAATATTTTCTGATCAATACGGGAATTAATATTCCAAACTTTAAAGTCTCAAGTTTCTTATCCGGAAATTCACCTTGCCTGTTTGTAATTTGTTTCAACTCCCGTCAGAAAGAAAGCAAACGAGGCAATTGTGCAATTTGGATCCAGTAGAGTTGGGATTCACAATAGAAAACGATTAGTGGATGGGTCAGCTTCAGCCTGTGAATTTCAATGTTTAGAATTTTTACATTCAAAATAAAAAAACTTCTTAAAATATAAAATTCACATGTTTGGTCCTTAGAAAAAATTCTAAGTCAACCGTTAAGTTTTCCAACTGTAACTGGATTTTCCAAACTTTGGGGGGGCGTTACGCCCCCCACGCCCCCCTATTATTTACGTGCCTGTCGGAATACGTTGTTGAAAAAACCAATCAATATTTTCTTTTCCAAATGTATGAAACTTTCATTTATGAAATCATACATTTCACAACAATACATCCAAAAGGAGATATGCCCCAAAATTCTCTTAAGGTTTTACACTTACTGTTTGAAAGTATTGCACCCTTCGCTAGAAAATGGTCACACAGACGCCAAAGTTTTTTAACTAAAAAAATTTGAATAACCATAACAAGTAACAGAAAGTTTTAATCAGTTCAAGCGGGAAATAATATAAAATTTATCAAGAAATTTTAGTTAAGATATGAATTGCAAAAATCTTTCGAGTTTATTCTATTTCTGAACAATATCCATGATTACGAAAACATGAAAATTGAGCTTTGATGATAGGTATACCTGTAAAATACCTCCAATAAAAAACTTTTCTTTGCTTGAGGGATTTTGTTATGGTGAATTTTGATATACGTACTTTGTGCTTGGGTGTTTAAAAATATTGAAATTCTTCTGGAGCAACCGAAAATTGAAAATGAAACTCAGAGAATGCAACTGAAGCTCTTTTTTGTTGAAACATTGTAATCTGCGTAGCTGTTTCTAAATTCCGAAATCTCCAAGCTGTGTTTTGGTGTTCCACTTTGATAAAATTGAGACCCTACTTCAATCTCTTTTTTGAATTGCTCTCTTAATAGCTAGGTGATTTAGAAAGTGAAGACCTTTTCCTTTTATAGAAAAGACAGGCCTTACAAATGCTTGCTTTTCGGAAACAAATGTTTATAGCCAACACCAGAAAAACTAGAGGTATATTTTTTGACTTAAAACAAACAGCCTGAGTCTAAAGACCATCTCTCGGGCTTCCCGATGATTTCAACCCTTGAGGCGATGTGCTCTAAAAATGAAGTTCATGTAGGACACGCCCTTTCATCAAGCATGCCACGCCCTTTCGTCGGGCAACTAAGCTTCATACCCCCCTAATGAAAATAGTGAAGTTTCGCCCCTGCCGGGACCGTATAGCATTCTAAATTCCACGTTCGTTTTGGTACCCTATTGTTTATTATATATATAAATTGATATATATATATATAAACATCTCCCGAAGAGTGAGT